GGTCTAATTTAAAGTGTAGTAAATTCATTGTTAAGTATTTTAATTGTTACTTTGGGACGACTATTGAAAGCAAATAAAACTTCATTAAAAACAGCCCGAAAATTCAATTGTTTAGTGTAACTAATGATTATGACATCATTGAAGTTTGCACTGTGAGAATTTTGCTAGGGCTTGACTTTCTAAAGACATCTTTTCTTCGCTAACTGCAGGTATTCAAGAAACTTAGGTGTATAAGAATGTGACACAGTGAATTAATAATATTATGAAAATTAGGGAAACCTGGCCACTTGAGAATTTAAACGTAATTGAACAGTTATGTTAAGCAATTTCTTCTAGCAGTATAAATTACAATTTCAACTTCGCAATTCATTGGGGGGGGGGGGGGGGGGTGAGTTGGGGAGTTGATAGCAATAAAAACTAATTGGGACTTAATTTAAATAAATTGAGTGAGCAGTACCATTACTCAAACACTATCCGCTCAAAATGTTTGTATCGGATATAGTAAGCATTTAAATTTGAAATTACACAGACAACCGGATGCCTACTTTTAAATAATAATTCAAAATTCAGGTTCATTCAATGATATGGAGGGGGGGGGGGGGAACATTTTCATAATCATCAACTAAGGTACCATACATTTAAATTCAAGGGTAGAATAGAATATTGAAATTAGAAAAAAAACATTATTTCAATGCCTTTCCGGACTCTCTCTTCCCTCCCTCTTATAGATCTTCTACTTTTTGGCAAATTCCCTCGTTTGATACAATCATTGAATAAATGAACTGATTATTATTATTTTCATTATTTTCACAAATAACTGGAAATTAGAAGAATATTTCTAATAAGTAGTAAGATTATCAAGGTAATCAGAACGCTCTGGCCTTTAACGTTTGACACTCGCACTGGGGCAGCCCATTGATTTGACTTAATTTATTCGAATATTCTGTCTGAGATTATACCGGAGGAGAAAATTTTGAAAGGAATGTAGGAACTGCTAACTGCGGAATACCCCTGTCATAGGGAAATAAATGGTAGCAAATTGGCAGAACCTCTTGGCCAATGGGCGTTGGCATCAGAGACAAGCAGCTTCTCCAATCCAGACTACGAATAGTGAAATTTACTACATGAACACCCCACCCCCTCCACATTTAGGAAATATTATTCACATTGAGTCCAATAAAACAAAAATTTTAAGTTTCTTTGACACATTGGGGTTGCTCTCAGCATTTCCTGATCGCCTCTGCACATTGTCATTTGTTGGGCCTACTGTTATTCCATGTCGATTGCCTTCTACAAATAAAAAATTACAACTTATTTTTAGTCAATTTAGATGCTGTAAATAAATTTGAAACAAGAGATGGTAACCGAATATCCACACGTTAAAACACTAGAGAAAGTTACATTGATCTCTGCACTTTACGATAAAAAGGGATGAATTGATTACTCTACGTCGGGCCTGGTTAGTACTTGCATGGGTGACCGGCTGGGAATGTCCAGTGTTGCTGACTTCTTGGGGTGCGCGATAGACTTACCTCCATGCGGTGCACCCTAGGCAACGTTTACTCATGCGGCAAAAAGGTCTATTAACCGGCAGTTGACTTCAAACAACCAAGACCCCGCTGTCAAATTTGACTACTTCCACATTACTCACCTCACCTTTTTTCTACCTTTGTGTTTGTCTCTTTTACGTCTTTGAAACACTGTTCTATTCCACCCCCCTTTTGACTGTGTTTCACTCTGATATTCCTTCCCCTCTTTGGAGCCTGAAGTCCACTAAAAGGCTAATGATAACTATCAAAACGCCTGCAATTTGATATGAATAAATAAATACATTGATCTCTACACTTTACGATAAAAAACGGACGAATTGATTACTCTGAATCCAGCGGAAAAACGCATCTTCTTGAGTGAGAACCCACTCCACATTTCTCAATTTCAAAAACCTGTCTCCCTATTAGGCTTATTTATTTATAATTTTAATTCTGTAGAAATTTCTGCAAAATTAGATGCATTCCTCTATAAACAGATTACTTCCCGAAATACGAAGCTGAACAAAGTGAGCACTGTTTTCCAGTTTCTAATTAGTTAATGCAGGAGAATTTTCATTTTACGCACTTTTAGAAGTTGTTTTCAAGCTCAAATGAGCCAGTCCATTGAAATTAAATTAAATACACTTAACAAGGGTTTTAGACCGGCCAATTTTTCTACGGTTAATTATCAACGAGTCATATTAAGAAATTCACAGACTTAACTAATGTCCGCCCAGATTAGGGGTCAACATATTGGCACCGTGTAAAGGGAGACTTTATAAGTTTAATTAAAGTCGATAATGATAGCTAAATCAGATGGGAAGGTATATTGCTCCCTGATCAATTCACATAAGTTCATTCCTGATGCAGCAATATGTCAATATGGACTGATGGAGATAGTTATTCTGATACAAATTCTTCAGTTACCAACTTTTTGTTCTAAATGTATTTTGACAGTGAAATTCATAAATTTGGTAAGACAGTGACCTAGCCATTCTTCCCATCGATTTTTTATTCTAATGGTAATTTCTAATCTAGAGCTCTTGAACAGTTTCCTCTCAGATTCTATTGCATTTCAATATATGTGGTATGTTATATCAACCACTACTTGACAGATGGTTAATAATATTATTTATTAGGTAACAAAGGGGCAGATTAAAAGGAGTTCATAGTCAGAGAAATAAAGCTAATAATCTGTAACAAACAGAAGATGCTAATTGTATTCTCTTCTTCTTCTTCTTATTGCATTAATTATTATCAAATGCATTTCTATTGCCATGCCAACTAGGTAAACACAATAAATCTTCTAAACCGAACTCATCATTGCTCACGTTATCATGAATTTTCAGATAGTTAAATCATAAGTGCTTAATTCGCCCCAAGCGGGCAAATAATCAGTTCAAGGCGAACGTGATCGTCCCCTTGGACAAGCCAACTGTAGAGCTGAATCCAACTGAGGAGGAATGACAGCAGCAGTGTTATGTGGCAGCATGAGTACCTGGGTTACTCCCAGTAACTTGATTAATCGGGGGGGGGCGGGTTTCTTGCCATAATCATTGAGTGAGGCAACATGACGACTAGGAAACCGGCAAATAGGCGTTGGCAGATTCCACTCACTTTGCCTTTAAAATAGAAGGCCAGCATGCGAATGATGGAATATACTTCAAGTTATCCTTTTTGGCTCAACAAAATCGCTTGATGTACTTAAATTAATAGAGCTTGGTGCTAATATAAGCGTATTTACCTACACCCGGAGAACTATATCAAAGGCCAGCAACAAACATTCATTTACTAAATTGAAAGTAAATAACATTGATTACGTTGCTCACAAGACTAGGGCCATACACAGAATCTCTAATGGTGGGTGTAAAAGTTGACGTACGTGCCACCGTCGCACTCAGAAGTTCAAAAGAATAGTACTATCGTAGATCCAAGATTTTGTGGAGCATTCTAATAAGTTTGATGCTGCAAGTTATTTTCTACAGCAGTTTCGACTTATAATATTGGTGATAGAGATGTATTAATAACCCGGTATCAACTGCCTTCATCGCTTGCAAATTGTAAATCCCTTTGGATTTGAAAAGACCATCTTTGATATTAACATGATTATAGATGATTGCTTTGTCAATTTCCTCTTTCCAAACTTGGAATATTCAGCATGAAAAATCTTGAACTTATTAAATTCCTTCATATTTTCTATATTAGCATACTGCATATCGCTCCTGAGAGTTTGACAGTTAACACGAAAAAAACTGACATTGATAATAGGATGAGAGCTTTTATTAGCACATCTGGGTCAACCGTTGCCTTGCCTAGTGGGCACAAGAACCACAGTCTTCCTTGCCATATAAGCGAAGATAACGTTTAGAAATTCAATCTCATAGCTCTTCAACAATAACGAAAGAAGTTATCAAGGCAGCGGAGGTCTAAAATAATGAAAAAAGCACAAAAACCAGTTAATATGAAAATTGATTCAATCAAATCGTCCAGGTTCTTGTATATTGATTTTGCGACTTCGTAGAGCGCACTTACTATCTCATACGTCTGTTCATGACCAACACCAACAAGCGCATTGGGTAAACTATTGGTTGCTGAAAGTCTGGAGGTCTTTAATAAATACCTACTTTTAAATCGCCCTGTTAGCCTCTCTGACATTTTAAGGGATCACGGAACTTGATTGTTGAGAACAGTTAGAGATGACCAAAGATTATTTGCTAAATTGCTCTTTTTCAGTTGTTCGAATTATAAATACAAAATTAGATACAAAATTAAGCCCAAATTATTTAAGCTTAAAATTTTGAGTAAACACTTGAAAAGCGTTAAAACAACGTTGGTGGTATGCAAGCTAAGACTGAGCTAATTTGTTTATCGATTTTTAGGGTGTGGTCCAAATAACAAACGCATGAAACAAAATGCATCAAAAGATATTTTTACTTTCCACTTCCTTATTTTTCTAGGGGAATTGCAGAAGCAGAAACATTCTTTGGTTATATTACTTATATAACAACCTCTCAAACCAACCAACCAGTTAATGATCTGCAGTGAAAAGAAGCAACCAATAAATTTGCCTTCTCTCATAATCTCCAAAGGCAAGTGCCCACGTTCTGCTCAAACTAACAAGTTAGCTTACACAAACACACCCCTTCGAAGTACTCTCAAAGGAAAAATAAAAGGAGTGAAGTCAAATAAAAAAGCAGCATTGGCATAACTTAGTCAAATGTTTAAATTCACCCAAAAGTGTATTCCATCAAAAAATGTGAAGGAAAACAAGTAGCCTGTTTGTCACTTAGTTAATCAGTTACAGTATGCAAAAATGGGAGGAGTTTAACTGTTGACAAAATGAAGGACCGGATAGCTGTCGTTGATTTGCTTTATCACAGGTGAGGAGTTATGAATGTGAGGAGGAATTTGGAGCAGGGAGAATGCAGCTATACATATGCTTTGAGGTTTTGAAGTTCGCATCTTTTCAATCTAAGGGTTAAGTGGAGAAGAAGTGTTGTTTGAATTGTTGTTGAGTCGACAACATTGGTGATGAGCACGCATCTCATGGACTGAGGTTGGTTCAGCGGGCTGTTTCTCACTTTCCTCACTATCGATCGATCGGGCATCAAAGTCACTTGAACTGATGCGAGATATCTGAGCAGCGAGGGAGTTTCGATCACTTGAATTGGAGCTGGAACCGTAGGCAGTTGTGGTCTTAAGGACTGAACCAGTTGATCCCTTTTGCTAGTAAGGAAAAATTGCATACAGTTAGATATGTTTAGCTTTGAATTCGAAGTGGAGATAACCTTAACATCAAATTGATTTTAAATGGTAAGCAGAGATTGATTAAACCGAGGTTGGTAATACAATATGGCTGGATTCTAACTGAAAATCATTTAGATAAAAATTAGAGCAATGTAACTCAAAGCAATTGTTGTGATGTGATCAGTATCTTGATATATGGGTATCTGGTTATCCCAAAATGATTCAGTGATATGAACAAATGCATTTATTAGTTACTCTTGAAAAAAACTTAAATCTTTATTTTGCCAAACAGTTTATCTGCATGGAATCATTTCACTGTACGTCTCAGATAGTGTCTTTAAGTGACGTCGAAACAACTTTATGCTTCATCATGCTGAGATTCCACCTTTGCTTGGAGATTATACAGACAAAATGGATTCTTAACTTTAAGCAACCTTAATTGAAGGAACAACAAAGCCACATAGAATTTTCACTCACGTTAGTTACTGATTCAATGAATGGCGACTCTTTATTTGCCACAAAGAGCCAGTAGGCACAGCGCATATGAGACATTTAGCAAGTTTTGTTTTAATCGAAAATTGAATCGCTTTGTTTCCAAAGCCACTTACTTCCGCTCAGGTTAAGCAAAATTAAATTAGGCGGAGTAACCTGGGAAAAACTTTACTTCTAAACAACCACTTGATGTGCTACGATTTTCCAATTGGCAAAGCAAACATCCGACTCGACAGTTAAAATTTATTATCCATCGATATTTTTAGTGAATGTTCTAGAAGCAAGAAAGCGTCTGGATTTCTTTCTTCATATCGGTCAAAATTATTACGGGTTTTAATACTCACTCATTGGTAAAAATTAAAACAAATTCCTCCAATGCATAAAGAAATCGAATTCGAAGCTTAAACTCTAAGTTGTAAATTGATCTAAAACTATGCGTAGTTAGCTTTGGATGTTATTTTTCAACTCAATTGCATTAAATTAAGTGCGTGCTACCTGGGATAATATGAAGATAGTCAAGTTCAAGCTAGTAGATCAATTATTTATTTTGCCGCTGCGAATTCTTCCTAATTCAACAGACATTATGCATCCAACTTTCCATTCATTAATTCGACCAAAAGAAGAAACCGCTTAAGAGGCAAGAAATATGTGAGGTACCTTATGCATGCATTGCGAAATTCGGCCAAGGATATCAAGAAGGTCACATGGTTGAATTCATTCCTTTCATGCATCTCAATTAAAGATCCTCAGAAAGCGGACATGGTAAATTCGTTTTCTTTGTTAGCTTAAATTATGAGTGCTTCTAACTTAATGGGATTAAATCGTCAAAAATCAAAATTTTTATGTCTTATCGAGACAATTTTATTTTAAATTCATCAAAGCTGAACTTTTAATTTTTTATTTATGTCAAATGGCAGGCGTTCTGATGGTTATCATTAGCCCTTTAGTTGACTTCAGGCTTCACGTTTGGATAGTTATCATTAAATAGTTATCATTAGCCCTTTAGTTGACTTCAGGCTTCACAGTGGGGAAGGAACATCAAAGTGGGAAAAAAAGTCGAGAAGGGGGGGGAACAGAAGTGTTTCAAAGACGAAGGTAGGAAAAAGGTGACGTGAGTACTGTGAAAGTAGTCGAATATAACATACAATGGGGTGAGGGTAGTTTGAAGTCAGAAGTCAATTGCCAATTAATAGACTTTTTTGTCGTATGAATATACATTGCCCAGGGTGCACCACGTGGAGGTAAGTCTATCGCACACCCCAAGCTGAGCAATAGTTTCCTCAATAGTTTTCTGAACCAATCGAAATTCCTTATTCAAAGCGTACTAATTTCTGGGGTCAAACTAATAAGTGTTGTAATTACTTTTAACTTCTCATATTAAAATGAACAATCTCACTGAAAAACAAACCTAATTAACCATTAACTAATTAATTAGAGTGCTAGTAGTTAAGCAAACAGAATGTCGAGCGAGGAAAAATGGCACTTAGTAGTAGACCAAAAAACCAAAACGAACTTCTTTCCCAACGAGCCTCATCCAACCAATCAATGACGATAAACTCCAATTTCTCCGCCTATCATTGTTCGGATGCATTTTTAACAAAATATCGGTTAAATTTCTAAAACTTTTAAATTACAGTACATAAATAAGAAATTTTTCTTGATTAATAAATAATTTCAATTGAAATTATTAATTTTACTACTTATTACTAAGTCGATCAACAAGGGAAAAAGGAGGAACAGTTGGAAAGGTATGAAGGTTAGTAAAACTGAAGAGAGAAGGAAGAATGAAATAATGCTATTGTCGAATTTCCCTAAGAAGAAGTTAATAAATTGTATCAAATGCCACGATTAGTCCAAGCAAATGCTTTCAATTACCGTGTCCATTAGTCTCTCAGCTTAAGCAAGTTTGTGGGCTTGATTAGAAATAAACATCCTGATGTTCTAAAACGATTTCCCAGACTGTCAACTTACAGCCTCGGTAAGGAAAATGATATCCTTCCAATGAAAAGAATCTGTTGGAAAGGCGTAGTTGTTAATTAATGCTTAACTCAAGAGCAATGTCTAAACTGCCATAAAAGGTTAAAGCCTTATTCTTTCATACACGTGATGACAACGTGAATGAATGATGATTGGAACTCATTTAAATCTGCAAAAGCAAAGTTTTTAGCATGATCTTCGTGCTAGCCATAAAATAAAGGAGATTATGATCACTTCTTAGTAATACCTGAGGAATTGCAGCACCAAATACAAGGCTACCGTATCTGGAAGAAAGCAACATGACAAACGATCGATTTTCAAGTCCTCGAAGCTCTACAAAAAACTAATTGAAGTACCCAGGCATTGAAATATGTGCACCATTATCACAAGAGATTCAATGTTTCAGCCTCTACCATGAGTTCGGCGCTCAATTAATATCTCCTCTAGTATGAACACGTGCAATCGTCATAATGGTCAACTTTCACACGTAAAAAGCTCACGAGAACCATCGTCTGACAAAGGTAAAGAAACTTCTCAACCCAGGGAAATAGCCTAGATCTTGATCCTAACTGAGAAGTAAGTCTCTTGCCAAGATCGTAAACACACACACACACACTCAAGGTAAGGGATGGCTTGATTTTTATTCGGTGTTTAGGACACCTCTCGAGTATGGCAGACTAAATTTCCACAAAATGGTATGCTCTTCTAAGGCGTTTTCCCCTACGAAAAGGATATGGCAGGATGTGGTGTCTTCTTTCGCAGTTTTGTAAAGAGGTGTCACGTGTGAATTCAAATGTCTGCGTAGAACTGCTCACTACCGTAGCGCTCAATACAAAGTAATAGGATTCAACCCCCTCTAAAGAAATTAAAGGCCCATGTATGTTTGCATTCTGAATACCCAAATTCTTAACTCAATGGACTAACGTGCGCTCTTTGGCGCTATCATTTTACCAGTATCCCAAAACCAACCAGTTAATTGAAGGATCTAAAACGGTATTTGAGACCCTTCCAATGAAAAGTATAAAAGTAGCTTGCTTCAGATTCTATGGCAGTTGTTGAGGATGATGTCGATGACAATTCGAGATTGAAAGTTACGCTATTTCGAGTAAAGCTCTTCGACGATGATATAATTTCGTAGCATGTTGAATTTCTTTTACTCTAATATACAGTTAAAAGGGACTTTCCCTTTCCCTGATGAAATTGTTACATTTTTCTCAAATCTTCAACTATTCCCCATGGACTGGAAATAATTTGTTGCTTAAAAGAAAGCAATTAACTGCTTTCACTTCTTGTGTAACTATGGATCGTTTAGTTTTATTAAGAAATTTGATTTTTGAATGCTTTATCTGATATAGTACTTGGTGACTCAATTACACGTAAAGAATTGGCAATTGTGAGTTGAAACATGGTTCTAAGGCCTCTGTCAAATCATACTTCGCTCCTAATTGCAGGAGTATCAATGGATCTATTGGCATAGAGGAACTTTTCCTCATATCCAAACTCGTGAATTGCAAATTTTTACTGCTGTCTTTACCACGTCATCCAAAGCTCAAGTACCGGATAAAGGGCATCCATTTTTTGTGGTAGTAGTGAAATTTCCGCTTTATTATGGAACTCTCTAAATGTCAAGAACTTTGAGTCCTCAGAGGTGCATTATCTTATATGTTCTGGTGAGCGTACTTATAGAATGCGTGTCTTAATTACTTTAAACACTTGCTTTTAAGTTCTTTTAAGCTCTTCAATCGCCGATCCTTGCAACAATTGGCTGTTCTGCAAGGCTTAAGGTTAAATAAGATTGCACTCGCATATAAGTAAATAGTTCAGCATGATTTTTAGTTAAACACTTTGGTTCTATGAAGTTATTTCGCATTTCGAGTTAAACTAAATTTAAATGATTGTCAACAGAACTTTTTGAAGTACGTTGCAGGCCTTCCAAGTTCATTAATAGGCGACACTTTGTGGTATTTGGCCAACCTTCCCACCAAACACATCCTTTAGGCATTCAATGTAGGATGATTCATCGTATTTCAACTCATTTTATAAATGCTATGTGATTCTAGGAACGTAATTCCTTGAAAATCGCTGGAGTCAATTGCTGCATACAGCCGTCAAATTTATATATATAATTCAAATGTCAACGCTGATATCTGAATCCTTCAAGAGAAATTTTTGGTCATTTATTTTAACACAAAAAACAGTGGATAGAAAGAATAATAACAATGATCATCATCTTCCTCATCTATAAAGTTAAGCCTATTGAAAAGTGTGGAGTAATTAAGAGTGATTACTAAATTGTTTTACTTTGATGTAATTAATATTTTGCTTTATGCCTTCCTTTCATTATTATTGAAATTGCAATTAACTCCAAAATTTATTCATCAGAACTAATGTGATTTGCGCTATATTGCACAGAGTTCGAGTTGAATTGGAATTAGTTTCGTCATAGCAACGAGAACTTGTGTACTGCCCCTTTTTATGCCTGAGATCGTAAAAGGAAGAAAATTAATGAGTCTCCTCCCAGTTATCGTAAGGCGAATATCGGTATTTTATTTCCTCTTTTCATCTCGCTGTAATATGATTTGTTTTAAAATGAGTGCATGCTTCTTAAAACAAATGCAAATCAAGGAGTTGTCACGTGAGTTTTTCTAACATTATTTTGGCCCTACTTACGCATCATTATTGCAATTATTTTTCATGAAATATAAGCAATCAATGTTTTTATTCTCCTTTGTTGGAGCAAATGCAACAAATGACAAAACATCTAATCTCACTTCATTTCATTTACGGACATGAGTTATCCGATATTTCTTAGTGGATAATTGACTTTCCAAAGTTAAAATTGTATCATTCATATTGCGGATCGTGGAAATTGCTTGATTGTGGTGTTCAGTGCTTAGAAGCCTATTTTAGATGACGTTCCATTAATGTTTTCTTCAAATGGTTAGAATGGTACAAGATTTTATATACTCCTCAACAACCTGCATCCTTAAAACAGTAGAGATGAAGTTGATAAAATTTTGAATTTAAAGGTGAAACATACTCTTAATTGTTGCAGACATTTCATATATAGAAAGCAATTTAATTGGCCTAATTTAATGACAAGCGGAAAGGCGTCTTTGATGATAAACACTTAAAGTAGCTGCTACAGAATAATTCGATTGGACAATTTTCTGGACTCATTCAGGAGCCGGAATGTGTTCATGTTAAACTTAGGTGGGTTTATACGGTTATCTACATTTTGGTAATTGAAATCACCGTCATTCCCATCGTATCGTCTTCTTCTCCTTCCTTGCCTCTATTACACACCAGAAATTAGTTTTAAAATTGTAAGCTCTTTCTGACCCTTGAAAAAAATGATGACTTTCACTCATACTACTGGGAAATAAATTTCGAACAAGCATAAAATTGATGAATCATTGAAGGCTTATTCCTCGACCACATTGCCACATAACCCACATCCAAAGACTGATCAACATAAACTTAGCTACTGAGAAAAAGAAATTTGTGAAATCGCTTGAGTTTTTTGCATTTCATGCTTTGCTTAAAAGTGGTGATGAATCACAAATCCGTAGTAGGTAATTATCTTTTGAAATGCACAATTATTAGAGATTGAAATATTTAAAATTCCTCTTTTAAATAAAGCGCGCAAACTATGCAGTAACTTGAATATTGCAAGTGGATGTTTTCGTCAAATCAAACTAGAGGGTTAAATTAATAACATTAGATAAAATTATTAATGGATATATGAAAGAGTAAACTTGTAAATACGATTCAAGTCCGACGAAATTCCATAATCTACATTCAATTTTCATTGAATTTACTTCATATCATTAAATGGAAATAGAATTGTGGCAATTGAGCTAGTTATCAGAGACAAACCCGTTCGAGCAAAAATGCTTTTCGGGCTCTAAGTCGGTATTACAATTAGAAGCCAAATTATAGGCTTTCTTTACCATGGCGAAAAGATATTACAGATTAATTAATGCTATGCCCAAAATACCAAGATTTACATTGGTTTACTTAAACAATACATAAGTTAACAGTCATTTCATTGGGATGGGATGGAAAATATTTAATAACTATCTATTTATCTAGGTAAAAAATTATAAGTTGACATAAATATGCTTTCACCCTGATATATGCTTTTAAAATTTATGAAATTTGACAAGCTTCTCCATTACCGTTAATGAAAATAATATAGCCAGCCATTAAAAAATAGGCTAAAGCGTGATATTACAATTGAATTCGAATGCGAAACTCTGTGAAATAACGTCCTGCTGTTTTTGAAAATGAATAGTCATCTGAAATGGGATCAAGTGTTCCCAAAAGCCATCGGGCAAATTATAGTTCTAGCTCAGGAGAAATAGTTAAATTTCAAGAGTGGTATCTTCAGGCTTGACTGCCCGTCCTCATCCTATTCAGTGAATGTAAAATGTATGCTTTTTCTTACTTATACCTGTAGGAAAAGTAAGTCAGAAATTGGTATTGCATCCTGTCTAAACCTGGCGGTCTCAATTAACGTGGATTGGATTATCGTCTATTTGATTTCTTTGGTCGCAATAGAGCATTTCAGATCACAGTTAAGGTAATTATAGTTACTGTTATTAAAAAATCAGTCAGTAACCATTGGCCACACCTATTCTTTCTAGCAAAAGAAACGGCCGACTAGGCTGAACTGTTTCAATCTCAAAAAGTGGCAGCTGGCCATTGAGAAAAGTCAATTACTACCATTAATTAAACATTAGCAGGTAGTATAAATTAATTATATTTACGAATTCATGACTTACTCTAGCCAAACAAGATCCTTGAGCACAAGTTGTAGCCCCGCACCTCCCATCGCAGATTACATACTCATTCCTCGGTAGGCCCGGATGTATATCAACCACACGGTTACCTCTATGCAACCGTTCCTTTTTCCATGGTTGCTGCAGTTTATCACCGTCACTCCCAGTCTCAACATAAGTATAGTCGTCTTCATCTCCATGTTCATCGTCCAAGTCAGGACAGTTGAGCCGAGTGGTTTCGCGGCCTGCATCGACAAGAACAGTGCGGGAGAAGACCACATGAGCACGGCGAGGACCCCGTGGAACTATAGGCAAGGATGGTAGACTGAGTGATGGAGCTGCCGGTGGAGGATTTGGAATCTGGGAGCCAACTGCACTCTGTTCCGAGGATGTAGATGAAGGGGGTGTTGAACTCTCTCCGTCACCGCTTCCTCGAATTGACTTTCCCGTTCGAAGCTACAAATAACATGGTGAATTTCATTAAAATCAACGTCAAAATTTTAATAATAATTTTTCTTCACAATTCCCTATACGGACCAACAATCTGGCTCAATAAAGATGCAGTTTACATTTACGGACACAAATATTTGGAATAAAAAGATCCTATCGAGCATTATAAAATCGCTTAAAATCATTACAGAAAGTATTAAAAGCCCGGAACATGTATTATAAAAGCAATTTAGAAGCTGATCTTATGAAAACAATTGCATTCGCCCACATCAATTGTCAATTGGAATTGATTGGTGCAACTGCCCATCCACCTGACTGGAGGCAGACCTTAGAGCATCTACTTCAGACTATTTGACTGAACCTCGCATCAGACAACTAAAACGACTTTCTTCAAACGAAGAAAGTTAACTAATTCAAGGAATGAATACCCCTTGTTAACCCAAATTCCACAATATTGATTGAATAAAAACGCCCAAATCCTGTCTGTGATCAAGTATTAGAACGAATGCAATGGCCGCACAATCGAGAAAATTCAAAGGGGTTTTGAGATTAGGAAAAAAATAAACGTCAAGCTGTGTGTTTCGGAAGGGCTACGTTGGAAATAGCCTGTTGGTAAACAAGTGGGAGAATAAAGCAGCAGAGAAATGGTTGTATTTTCCTGCTTTGAGACACTTTTAGAGTGTGGAAAAGAGGAGTTGCTTAAAAAGTAAACAGTTATAACAGCGTTGAAATATGACTGCTTTAAATATTTAACTTGCCCAATTCAGGTAGAAGTGTCACAAAAATATGCGCAGTTTGAACAAAAAAACAAAGATTACGCTTTCTAGATATGTGTAGACGTGGAAGTCACCTCAACTTCCAAGTTCAACACTCGTTATTCTAGGCATATTACGTGGTGGAAGCTCGTACAAATAAACAAATACAATAATAATAATAAAATTTATATAATTATTCTGATTTAAGCGACAAATTGAATTTTACCGGACTGAGTGATGTCTTCAAGATATCCTTATAGGCAATGTATTTTTTTTTTTTATATTTGCCTTAAAGCTTCTTTACTTTTTCAAGGCTATCTGTATGGATCAAAAAATAATATTAAGTCGCGTTAATACCCCCCCCCCCACAAAAAGTCTGTACTTTTATTTGATATCAACTTAAGGTGTGGCCAAGTTTCAACACGAAACAATTGGCTGGGCAATTATGCTGTTAAAGAAAATAAAGTTTTGCTGACTAGAAAAAACGCTGATTTTTTAAGCACAAGCTCTAACCGAAATCCAAATGTTAAGATTGCAGAAGATTCTTAAGCACTTTCTTGTTTATTGCGTTATGCATATTTTATTACAAGCAATGAAGTAGGCAAATGCAGTGCTAAGCTGGAGTTGCCAAAAAAAACAGAGTTTGTTTTTTTTTTGAGGAAAATAGAAGGATTGAAATTTTGACTGCAGCAATGGAAGTAGATTAGAATTACCATACACTTGGTCAAAAAATGTTAAATCGCCAACAGGAACAATTCTCCCAATTAATCATTTGATTTACATGTAGCTGTGTGGGGGGGGGGGATTTCTAAGGCTCAGAATTTGAAACACACGTGTCTGATTCCGAGAAAATAAGTAAAAGTTAATCATACAGAAATGTGCTTTACAGTGGGAAGTTCCATTCTCTCTTTCTTTTGTAGAGCGTCTTTCAGCATTCATCTTCAATGACCTGCCATATTCTAAACATAATTGTCATTTTAGTTAATCAAAAAAACTAATTAAGGAGTTAATCTGAAGGATTACAAATTGGAGATCCTGCTTATCTGCTCGTTAGATGCTAATTTATTGCTCAGAAAGCAATTGTACAGTCAGTAAAATACTTTGTCCAAATTTCGTTTATTATTTTAAACTGATCTTCTACTTGCTATTAAGCTCCTATAATTAGCACACAAAATTTGCCAAAATGCTTTCAACTATTCAAAGGTGTCTATTTTAAAATGCCTACATGCGGGAACTATAAATATGATTTATGCAAGCACCCGGGTAAAAGCTCAATTGAGTGCCACGCTAAATTATTTCCCTATTTTCACCCACAATAGACACTATAATTGCCAAAAAATCCAAACGCATTGCTATAAAACAAGAACATTCAAAAATTCATTCTTTTCCACTAGAAATGTGTCCCTATTGCTGATATTTCAAGCATCTGTAAATCGCTTTTAATTGATTAATTTTGTCTGAACTATTTAACTTAAAGGAAAACCTCAAGAAAAAAACTATTTATTGAGCCATTTTTCGCATTTAGGCCTAGCGAAATTTTGTTGCACTTTGTATAGATAGAGAAGTGAGCATTTAAAGGCCTAAATCTTCTTAACTAACAGCATAATTAATGACTCATTAAAAATGTACTTTCATGCCCATCAATTTGAATTAACCGAAGTAATTCGCCTAAAAGTTTAAATTCTCATAAATTACCGCACTTTTAGACAATTAAGAAATGAAAGTGCTGAAAGCCCACTTAGTAGGTTTCCTATTCAATTTGATTGAACAATTTAGATAGAACAGAGGAGAGCTTTGAGAACGAAAGCAGGCTAAAATATCTAAGCAATGAAATAAAAATCAAATTGTATCAAAAATGACTTAAACAAAGCATTTGCTCGTGAAGATAGTTTGACAAGTACATTGTGTAAATTTAAACTTTGAATTGATAGTATTTAATTTAGCGTTCACCCATTAGTGTTGCAAGTTATCTGAATGATGGCAACTTTCTTTTCATCTACGATGACAGCCCACCTCAAGAGGGTAGGAAAAAATTTTTATGAGGGGCTTATTTTCAATTCAAAATTGTATTGATTGATCACTAAAAGTATGCAGAATTCGTATATAAAGTATTTAATGACTAAGTGGATGGACTAGTCGCATTAGGGGGAACTGAGCTAATGTGGCATACAAAACAAGGATTCAAATATTGAAGGCTGAAATGGTATATCATAATTTAACGTAAGGTATGTGAATCGATGAATTTTTAATTGAAATGAATCTTGGCTCTTTTGATATTAAAGTTTTTTTTCCTTTTTATACATTATCATAAAGGGTGCGCGATAGAGTTACCTCCACGTGGTGCAGCCGTGGAAACGCATACTCATATGGCAAAATAGTCTATAAATTGGCAGTTGACTTCTGACTTCAAACTGCCATGACCTGACTGTATGTCAAATTCGACCACTTAAACAGTACCCATTTTACCCTATCTCTGCCTTTGTGTCTGTCTGTTTCTTTCACTTCTGTGAGACTCTCCTCTCCTCCGCCTCCCGACTTTTTGTGACTTTGATGTCACCCCCCCCCCCCCTCTGTTGTTAAGCCCGAAGTCAATTAATGGACTAATGATTACCATCATAAAGCCTGTCATTTGATATGAATAAATAAATCTTGTTATCCTGCTCGGGCTTCATTTGGCCCATTAGGCTATTTCAATTTACAATTATTTTTAACGTTTTTTAACGCTTTCAAGACAATTGGATTTTCATTGCTCTCCAAATGTTGTCTCTTTCCAATTCTAATGCGCCCGAATCTTCGAAGAGCGTCAAACCTCTAAAAGCTGATTTCAAATATCTTTTCATAGTATCAACGAAATAAATTTGAAATATATCGTTTCTTTACTTCGGGTAGAAACTTTGAAATTGAAATATGTATAACATTCCAACAAAAACGCCTTTTCCCACCACGAAACCCCTTTGTTTTTGGATTTTAAAATGAATTTGTTCCTTTGAGCTACGTCAATACCCAATGTTTTACCAGTGACTATTTTCTTAATTCAAGTATTTATGGACAATGAACGAAGTATGCACATCTTCTTTTCCATAACTATTGTATTTTGCAAATGGTAAAGCTTTGGTTTTCTAGGTAAGCGCAAATATATATTGTAAAAAAACTCAAATTCTACCTATAAAGTTGGCCTCATTGACGCTTTTTAAATTATAATAGGAGGAAATAATGAAAAATTGAAATAAAGGCACCTCAACTCACCCAATGCCATCTTTGAGTTAAACCAACAAAGAACTCTAATGTGCGGAATATTTATAAAGAAATAATAATAATTACTCAAGGATTTATTTGAGTCATTTAAAATGTAAAGATAAGAAACTAGGTCTTCTGAACGCCAAAGCTGGCTGATGTACAAAGAGAACGCTATGAACAATTCAGCTTAAGCAAATTATTCGAAGTCTGTGAGCATCACGGAATTAAACTCAAGTAGAAACCTGGCGGATTCAGACTAGAGGAATTGGAATTTAGAAATTGTAAGAAAAGGATCAATAGAGCAACGGACGATTCAAAAATTGCAGATTGAAAAATTAAAACATCAAAATACGTTTAGCAACCAACTTTATTGTCCGCTTTTACTCAACGCCTCCCTCTATATTACCACTTATTTCCAACGTTTGCCTTAGTTTAGAGAGAGCAATGTTGACGAAACATTAATTGATCATAGAGCAACGTATTTATAGAAGCCAAAAATTGAATTCCACACTTTCGAACACAGGGAGTTTCTAAGACTTCTCAATAGATATCAGCCAGTTCAGTTAAGAAAGGACTCAAAGTCACACTGGTCACACCATGTTGATCAGCTTGTAATACCTCAATTGAGAGTATCAGTCACAATTATATCACTATAGTGAATAAAAATAAAAGTGAAAAATAAAGCAACATAATAACTCCAATTACGATAAAACTATTCAGATAGCCGAAAATTTATCTCCGACTGCTATTTTACACACCTTTAATCTTATCCACAATGATCCAGTGTTTACGGGGCTGAAAATGGCTCTGGAGGAACATATCTCCCTCAGAAAAATATTTCAGAATATTATTGATGGCTTGAAGATTCCAAAGCTAATTTCCAAGGGACCGACAGTAGCTCCGTTTGAGCAGAAACCATGCAAGTGTAAATTCAATTTCGGCATCTGTAGCATCTCAGGGACACTATTTTAGGTGGTCTAAGTAATGGTTAACCAGAGGAATTGTGCGGAGGTGCGCCATATTTTCAATATAATGAATTCACTTAATTATTTGCCTCTAATGATTCCTCAAATTTTCTCAGCAAGTTAATATCTCCATTATTTAATAAATAAAAATAGAATCACATCTAATAAACTGGAAGAAAAGACAAAAAGGCCAATTAACTTGTCGGTGTGCTAAAAGGGGAACGAGACATTTCTTTGATTTACTTATTTGTCTTAGAGTTTTTCCATGTTGATAAGGCTGAAAGATGAATTACAAAGAGAAAATTCATGCGTTATAAGAAGGTAAAGGCGCTAACTTCAATAATTTGGCGTAAAAATGACAAAACAGAAACTCTCAAAATAATTTTATGCAAGTTTTTAATCATCTCACATTCAAAGATCCCCCATAGATTTAAACAAAATGTCATAATGCTTTTATTATTGGCAGGCAATCTGAGACTTCGCCAGAGCGATACATCGATTTCATACAATTCTCCTAGAACCCATTCCCCTCACAAGGGACTATTGATCCATTTTCACCCTTTACATAATACCGGCTTGCTAAAGTTTCTTTTTACCCTTACATCTAATTTTGGCTTCTCTTCTTTCTCCTTTAATGCAAATTTTCTTTTGACAACTTTTTCTCCTTCTGATCTTTGAATAATAAAATCGAAAAGTTTGAACTAAAGTTATTTTTGCTTCTGTTGTTCCCTTCCCCCCCCCCTATGTCTTCCAAGATGATATCCTCTTATTTTATAATCTTAAATCAAATTATTATTGAATTAGTAGAAACTTTCACCGGCGATGGAGAAATAAATAATCGAATTTAAAAGGGAGGGAGCGGGGAATGTGAATGGCATTAAATCACAAATTGAATGAAACTTACAAGTTCGCAGTGATTACAATGTGTCTCCGATACTTTCCCATTGTCACGATGTATTGGACACAACCAGCTCGGTGAAATGCCTTTTGTGTCGGTTGGTGGTGTTTGGTTAGATCCTTCCTCTTCTGATTGCTCTGGACTAGTTGGTAGAAGATCAAGGCTGAGGTCATTGAGACGCCTCAGAATGTTACGAAGATTGTTTTCAGATTTCTCCACAGCTCCTTCAAAGAAAATGGACTCGCGGAGTGAGAGCATTCGCTTTCGACGCTTTCTGGTATTTTCATGACACTGGAAGGAAACGAATTCAATAGCGCATCTTTTACGTAAAATCATCGAATAATCGCACTGCGTCTAGGCAGATTGCCGCAACCTCATCAACTATCCAATGAATCGAAATTTTTTAAGATTAAATTGAACGCTTTATTTGCATTTACAGGTGGATGTTGAGCATATAATGCAGTAAATGAAAATTTCTTCACTTAACACTTCCTTTTAGTCCCGTGATTCGTTATAATTCCCTCAAAGTTAGGCTTCAGCAGCCATGAATATCTTGGAGACATGACGGCATTCCTCCTTACTCAATATATACAGAAAATTCAAGCTGTTTTGCTCTCGGCTGCAAATCGAAATATTGTGACACTTCAATGAAGGTAAATAAACATTATGTTAATATTAGGAAGATAGTCACACTGAAGCATATGAGAGTCGATTCATGGAGATTAGGTGTGAGAAAGTCCCAAAATGAGCAACTTCAATGGGGAGAAATCGAACAATTTAATATTATCATGACTTATTTATTGTCTTTTTATTGGCCTTCTAACTGTTTTGTATCATTGAGAACCTGTTTGCGGTTCCCTTGTTCAGATGCCTGTCATACTTGCATATTCAAGAGGATTTTCGCCCAGTCGTGGTTAATGATAACGATGCTTCAGAAACGAAATCTTCGAAACTTCCCTCACTTTTCTTTACTAAATATTAAAAACAAAACTAACTTTACAAGATGAAGTGTTGCACGGTAGTTATCATAGCGAACAATTTTCATATGACTAATATAAGCTCAATTTGCATGAATCTTGGAGTTACCTGGAAAAACTAATATTTCTTGTATCTTTAGTACTCATTTATAAAAAATGATATATCATCGTGCAAACGAAATGGCGAAATTGTACGCTATTAATTAAATATTTTTGCAATTTCTATCTTATTTTACGAACAAATTTTGTTTCAAATAAACGCCCCTCTGCAAATTTGGGTAATTGCTTACTTTTTTCTCCGCAATTTAAATTGGAAATCGAAATTATGGAAAAAATCTCACCAACTGACATTCAAAAGAGGTAAAGTTTAAAATTTTGCAACATACAGGTTCTAATTTTGTTTTAATAGTTACCCAGGGTTTAAAACTAGGACAAGCTATGGCGCTCAAAATTAGGAATTCATTCACATGTAAAGATGTACTTTCTATTGCTTGTTAAGTACAGTTTTTTACGATAAGGTTCATTCACTTAAACGCCAAATCATTCTTTTTAAAATTACTTAATGAAATCAATTTTAAGGGCTTTAAATTAAAAAAAAAACTCATAAGAAAAAGCACCTCCGAAGTTCTGAAAACGGATCAAATTACTGCTTGATCAGTTAGGCTAACCATGTCCTGTTATCTGTGAAATAAAGAATTCAAACGTGCTCCAACGAAAACAAAAATTCCAAAAATCAAGGCGTTAAGATCATAATTACGAAGATCAATCATATGAAATCTCGCAAAACCCATGTTGTCCGGACAAAAAATCTCAAAGGCACATTATCACATATTCCTTCCAAACCATGCCTTTGATCGGTTTGGTCATATTAGAGACAGTCAGCCTACATCATTGAAAAGTTAGAGATCATGAATCCCAAACAAGTTTTTGTTGTAAATCAAATGATTAAATTAATCAAGCGTAATATTTGATAGTTAAAACAGGGAATTGGTTGTTTTGAAAGCTTCTAGAAAAGGAATGGTTTCAATTTCGCATTTCTGCATTCAAAATAAAATTTGTTATCCATTTTTCACGGTGTGGTTAACTCGGCAAATCTAACGAAAGAGTTCTTACACAGTAGTTTTAACTAGTTCCAAATTCTATTACACTGTAATAAATTGCCTATAGTTAATCAATAATCCGAGTGTAGACGGAAACAAATTACAACCTGGTTTACGAAAGCGTTTGAAAATGTGTTTTTAACCAAATTTCAACTCAACTAGTGTAAGTTTCCATAGGTTCTCCTAGCCCTCACAAGGAGAAAGGACAATCTATAGTTAGATAAAATGACAATTGTTTTATTTATATATTTGAGGAGCAAATATAGCGGATTTAGAAAATTTTTGATTTAAGAGTGAAATTAGAGCTTGGAACTAATGGGTATACCAAAATTAGCTGGAAGGTTTACCATGCCCCATTGCATGCATCAACTGATTTAAGTTTACCAATATCTTGCTCTTCCAAAGGTTTAAATAATAGTAATAATATATAAGTTGAAAATTACATGAAAAGCAGCTAGCTTTAAATACCTACGGGTATCTGACATTGGTTAAGAATAGGGACATAAAACCAGATTGCTCCTTTCATTTCTGTCACTGAATAATCTACCCCGTGCATTCAGATTGTGTAAATAAGGATAAATGGAAAAGTCTGTAGAAAACAACATTAAGTGTTGCAAGATTAAAGTCTTCTACTCTGTCGTCTTCGCATAGAGAAACGCTCAATAGACTATCAAATAATAATCAAACTGAGTGACATTATCTCCTTATCGATTTTCTCTGGGCATATTTGTTATTAATAGAAAATTATGATTACAAATTTTATAATCGCATTACTTCTTCAACGAAGAGCAAGGTTATCAAACTGTCGAACCTACGGTTCTTTAATCAACACCTTAACAACAAAGGAACTGGACAAATAGTTGAAACCAATTCGACCCTTGTGAATAATAGTCAAAATGGCAAGGTGAATATTTGACAAAGTTAGTTGGATGATGATTCATTCCATATGGAATTGATTGATTTGCAATAAGTCATATCTAATTAAAAAGTGATTTTAAATCTTCACTGAAGCAGATTTTGAAGACACCATAGACGAGAGCACAAGTAATATCGGATTTACTCATTTTACGAAAAATATCTCCCAAAGTCCATTTTTAATTTCAATTAATCATCTGTATATTTTGGCATAAGAGGTTCCAATTTATTCAATATACAAACTCCAAGCTTTCTTCTGCTTATTTACTAAAATGTTCCATGCTCTAAGTTATTATGAAAGGAGAACTTACTTCAAGACCCAACATTCTTGCTTCATGATTGGGTACTATTTTGGAGATTTGCTGGAGGTATAACTTCTTGTCTTCTGGTCTCGGATCTCGAATAGTTCTCAAAGTTGGAATATTAACACTAATTCCATTTTCTTGAACTGCCGCTAACCTAGAGAAAAAAAGAGGTCGTAAGAAGAGTGATTCCCTCCCAACTTCGATAAAATTAACCCAATTGACCCACCTCTTGAGGGTAAACAGAGTACAGGTCAGCTGCTTGCAAGTTGATAAGGCCGCATCGATCCGTTTCGGCTCATTTGAAAGATATCTGCAAGTGGAAATGGTGATATATAGTCAATGAAAAGTTAAGGCACTTGCGTGTTAACATGCAAACTAACTCATTTTGAAGTTTAATCTCAGCTTCAATTACGAGTGAGAGCAGATTCGAGGCATTGCAGATTTCTGGAATTTGGCCTAGTGGGAGGAAGAATATGGTTGAAAAGGTGTTGGCATAAACTGAAGTTCTGCGTCATATGGTAGTGTTAAAATGCCAAAACGTTTCCACAAGGCAAAGCAGACAGGTAATGGGGGGGGGGGGGGG